TTTTATGGCATCACTACATCATACATTAACATGTACATAAGCGCTTTGGTACGTATTCCATATTTCATGTATATACGAGTTGAAAACTTAGAACTGAACCTAGCCAATAATTACTGATCGGGTCACTTTTTAAGCTATTTACATTATGCAGCTCTTTCTTCAGGAAAATATTAAAACTCAACATTATAATACTGAGTAATATTTTATCTTGTCTTATCAAAACGGCGTAATTTATACCTACTTAAATGTGACTAATATAGTTTATACACAGGAACAAAATGATCACACTTCATCGTATTTTAATACCATTCTCAAAAGCACTCGAAAGTTTTTTTGAAACGTACAACCACTGTGAATTATAGGATAAGACGACCACTGTAGTATATGTGGGGGACTAAGTGGTCACAATATGATGACCGCCTCCGTGGTCTAGTGGTAGAGTGGGTCGGTAGAAGGTCCGGAGTTCGATCCCCGGCCGCGTCATACCTAAAAAATACCTGTCTGGCGCTCGGCATTAAGGGGCTAAGACAAGGACTGGTCGGCTCGGAGTCAGTATACTGTGTCTGAGTGGGGTATTCATGTTAAACTGCGGCATGGTATCTCAGTGAGCTAGCACTATAAATCGGCATCAGTCCGGACTAGTACAAGCAGCCACACAAACAGACACACGTACATGCACGTCGCTATATATGTGCAATAATCTTGGACGCGACGTTAAACCCCATTTCACCACCTCACCACAATATGATATTGTGTATGCAGTGTATAATACAAGTATAAAAAATCAACTTATTGTTTTTCCTTTGTTGTTCATCAATCCTTTCATGCCAAGTGAGAGTTTGAGATAATTTGTTGACACTCTTTATATAATTCCCTCTCAACTGTAAGTCTCAGTGCTTAATGGATTGATTTTCCACAGACCCTAATGTTTCAACACATACGCAGATTTTATAACACAAAATGACTGCTAAGTGATATTTCTGAAGTAAATAATATAACTAAATTTGTATTTGGGGATTGCCTAAAAGTCGGGCCAGGAAAATCGGACCGGCTGGGCCAGTGGGTGATGTTAAAGTGAATTGCAGAATATTTAGAACGAAATATGCAAATAACTCCTCAAATGGCGTGTCAACTTTGTGTGGTTAAACCATCACAATGAGCACATCTAAAATACGCTTTCACCCACAGCCCAAGGGTCAGATATTTAAGCGAATTTAGAATTGGAATCAATGGTTAAAGGAAATAACCATGAACAGTGAACTGCAGCATCCTTGACGATGAGACCCGTGAAGTTCCGGGGTAGAATAGGTCTTCAGCAACTTATGCTTGACGTGAAAGGCGACTATGCTTGTCGTAAGAGGCGACTAAGGGGATCGAGTAGTCAGGCTCGCTGACTTGGTTGATGCACGTCATGGTATCCAATTTGCGTGGATCGATGCTCATGATATCAATCACTGGATTGTCTTGTCCAGACTTCATTATTTACAGACCGCCGTCATATAGCTGGAATATTGCTGAGTGTGGCATTAAACAACAAACAAACAAACGTTGACGATGACAGGTTAGATCCCAACTAAACACGTATGTGTGAGATAGGGGTTGTTCTCTTTGGGGTTTCTTACTGTCATAATGAAGACTGTAGTGAAAGTATAAATAGGGAAGTCTTTAGGAACGATTCGGATTATAACAATCGTTAATTGGATTATCAATATGAGACAGTATGAGACACAAGGTTTCTCTCTGACCAATTGTTTTGAATCTCCTCAGATTATGAAGGACACTCAGTTGTAGACTGCGGCTTCCCTCCCTATCAGGACGGCGCCATGGTCGACTACGTCAAAACGACGTTTGGTGCTGAAGCCAACTCATTCTGCGTGAAGGGGTATTTTTCATCGGGCACCGGAACATCCGTGTGCCTGTCTAATGGAACTTGGTCACAAACAGACTTGGTTTGTAAAGGTTAGTGATTCTACTTAACACAGAGCATTGGGGCTGGAAAGATTCATCAATGTATCGGTGCATCGAAACGAATCACTATTCGACTATCATATATAAAACAATGCATACATACAATACATGATATAGACAAAAGAAACGCTAATACCATACATGTTGGTTAATATATGATAAATTACTCATATTCAAGAAATATTATATTAGTTTGATGCACAAACGAACATATTGTTATGTTTTGGGGACCGACGTTCATGGCGCATCACATGTGACGTCACAGATCCATAACTCGAGATGCACCATTTGTCGAACGTCTTATTTGTTTTAGCGTGTAAAGTTCAGCATATCGTGATAAGACTAAAGACACTCTGTGGTAAGACTTGACTGATTGTTAGTTTTTTCATTAATAGGTACACATTGGAAACATCTCTTCTTAACGTACATACTTCTCAATATATTTCTATGGTTGGCGTTTCTTTTGGCGGTGGGTATATGATAACAAACAGTATCAAAACTATTCGTCAAATTCTACTTTCTGATGACATGAATAAAGCGCTCTGAGGCCATTGTTAGTCTTACTCACTAAGATTTACTGCAGTGCACATTACCATTGTCAGTAAAGTCATCAGTATTATAAAGCTTGTTCAATCGTCTGAGACGAGGGAATCCGCTAAGCAGAAAAGTATCCGTTGGTCCGTGCCCGGATCTGCTGATTGTAGGTCATCGTACTGATAATAATTATTGGTTTGTCAGCACCAAACCCGTCATCGTGGGTTTCACGAAATTGGTAAACGTCTATCATTTTGGGCTTTCCTCCCATATTTTGATGAGCTACATGTATAACTGCTATTTAAAGAAGCGTTAATACAAAGTCGGTTGTTATATGTTTCATTGAGCTGCGTGTTGTATATGTTTCAGCACGGTCTCACAGTACATGGCAACGTGTGGCCAAGACAACAGCATCAACTACGCCGATTCTCCAGAGATTTAAGTTATATGATCGAATTTCCGCAGCCTGTAAGCCTAAACTCCGCGTCAAAGCTGATTTTAAACTTTCCAGCAAGGTTATGGACCTCCATTCAAGTCGCGTCGAATGGAATAGGAAAATTTGGGGCCAGTCGGTAAGAGGGTTGAGTAAATCGTCTTGGGATTCCTTTGAAATATTCCCTAAGCGTGAGTTCGAGCTGTTTCTGCCTGACAAACAGAATACTCATTTGTCAGTGGATGACGATGGGAACGCCAGGAAAAACAGGTATGACGGAGATTTCGTTTGGTTTGCGAAAGACGATCAGTGCGTATCCACATCCTCTGCCAATGATATAGGATCTGTTCTGACCAGTCTGTTTGAAGGGGAAATCGATCCTAACTTTGATACGTACGATGTAGATGATAGTAACAGTACTGTATATGGGCAGGTAACCGGTCATACGTCCCATGATTCACAGCCTTCATTCATGATCCCTTTTTACTGGTTTGTTCAAAAACAAGGTCCGTCGGGGAAAGTAGATGTTATAAGATGGTATGTTGCAGGCGGATTTGTTAGTGCGGAGCCACGCTCCGCTACCATGCCCTGGTGTCCCGATACGTGTTGGCACCATGCCTTTGACACAAGGGCCTCATCCTCAAACAAGGACAAACATATCCGTCATCTAACAAACGGGGTACAACATGGACACAACATCATGCTTAAGATTGGAAACGTGGTAGCAAAGGCACGGGAAGTAATTCTACACGACGGCCACGTGACTGTAAGTATCAAAGAATTCTGGGTACCATCTGATAAAAATGCCTTCTCATCCGGGTCTCGTCAAGCGTGGATCATGGTTTCAACGACAGGTCGCGATGTTCAGTGCATCCACGTTCCTGAGTCCGCTGTCGTCAAGGATGTAACAGAGAGTGAGAAACCCTCCATCTGGTTCCTAGACTCACGACAGTGGGATAAAGTTTTCACCATAGACGGGATCGGGGCTGTGCTGTCTGGGTCAATGTCAGCTATGTTACACAAGGTCAATGAAGGGAGATCACTCCGAGTGGGTGTGCTTCACACAAATGGGATGTACAAGGCTTTGGAGGTGGACGCTGTGGATGTTTCAAGCACAGGTCACATAGCAGGGGATATCATCCACAACGTAGATCTAGTGTTAGGCCCAGGAAATGACTTCCATTTTACGGACACATGTGGCGTGGTATCATCCATTATAACGACAGAGGGCAGCTACAAGACGTATAGATCTAACATCGGGTACGCCGGAAACCACAGCACAGTCAACGACGTGGCAAAAATTGACTGGTTCGTTGAGATGTAAAAAGGTGTACTTTGTCGTATGCACACAAGTACAATATGGAGGATTTCGTATGCATAAAATATTCGAGCCATACAGAAAATAGGCTTAGACGTGTTTTCTAATCCTTCACACTAACTTTAACAAATGTGGAATAACATCTATATTATGGGGACAGTCAATTTAATTCCCACCGAATCTGTAAATATATTGGACTAAAAACATAATAATGGTGTCGCGAGCAAAGGTCCAAATTTCAGGCCCAAGGGTGAATGCTGTTGAAATGAGTATGTGGGTGACACTGCGGAAGTCTCGGCTCCGGGGTTATTTGCTTAAAAGTTGTAAAACTGGTGATTCTGACTAGTTTTAAATCTAGTGCCATCACTAAATCTAGAAAACAAATTCTGTAAATCATATGAACCCTGTGAGGAGGCTTCAACAACCAGGCCACCCATTGACCCTGTATACAATATTATGATGACCTGCAATCACGCATCTACCGTATTTCCTCTAATAATCGCCACGACTACCTTCTCCTTGGATGCTTTTTTTTATATTCTCAGCAGACTATTTCTAAGTCAGGTTACGCTGACCAGACAGGACGTAGAGCCTCACCAGTAATGATGACCGTCTATTAACAAAGGAAAGGGTCAATATAAGTTGATGAATTTGCATGGGTATTCCAACTTGAGCACATATAGCATAATGAATATTTATTGAACACTGTGTAAGTGTTATTATTATAGCAGAAATCAACAGTCTTGATACTCTCAATTGATGTTTATTGTCCGTTATTCGTTGACAATAATAAATGAAAAGCTCATTCTTTTGTATCCGTTAACATGCTTTTCCTTTGAACGTTAGCGTTGAAATGATCAGTGTTGAGGTTCAAGAAACTAGAAAATAACAAGAAAATGTTCTAAGTTACAGTGTAAACAGTGAATTGGCTAAGTTGTTACAAATACAAAATTCTACAAATATTATATCATTTGAAGATAAATGATAGCTTCAACATTACTTTAGATGAACACACATTGTATAAATATGAAGAAGCAGGTTAAAAACTTACATCTGTGTTCTGCAATAGTTCATGACATGTTTCTCCAAGATGGAGACCTTTCAAACTGAAGGTGACAGTGGATGAGGTGACAGTGGATGAGGTCACATGACTAATCCCATGATGCAACAGAACTGATTATGAGTCACAAAAACTTTTGCCTGAACCTGGGATTGAACCCTGGACCCTTATGCAGCTAGTCCAGTGACATAACCAACAGACCATTGTTAAGGCTGATATCTGTACATGAAATTCATAACATTTTTGCATAACAGATTTGTAACATAAATTATACTTTCTGCACTAACACACTCGGCCTCTTAAACAGACGGGCTGTTTAACACAAATATAACAAACAGTGCAGAAATCACAAGCTTGTATATACAGACACACTGGGTTTTGACTGATGGCTAAATTTGACAAAATCACGACTTGCTGGATAACAGCAATATAAGCTTGCTGATCGGTCGACGTAATTCACCAGTTTGAGTTTTCAGTACAGCACTCCTGACAAAACCCTTCTGATCAGGTTCAACCGACTTAACACGAGCCATGGGCCACTGAAGTCTCGGTAAACCGTCATCCATTATCAGGACAATGTCATCCACTTGGATATTCCGTTTTGGGATCGTCCATTTTTGCCGTTGCTGCAGTGACACCAAATACTCCTTTCTCCATCTGGACCAAAAGACATTGGCCAAATATTGGATCCGTCTCCACCTTTTCCGCATGTATACATAATTCTTCTGGAATTGGCCAGGAGGTGGAACAGACACGCTTGTTTTCATCTGTAGGATATGATTTGGAGTAAGTGGCCATAGGTCATCAGGACTGTCAGATACTGTGGTTAGTGGCCGAGAATTGACAATTGCCTCAACTTCGCACATTAAAGTTCGGAACGATTCATCATCCAAGCGTTCATTGAAATCGTGCAAGAGAGAATTCAGGGTTTTTCGAACTGTTCTGATCATCCGTTCCCAGATGCCACCCATGTGACTGGCTGATGGAGGGTTAAATTCCATTTGATGCTACTTTTCAACAGGTCGGATTTGATACTATCTTGATCCATTTCTGACACAGCCTTCTGTAGTTCTCGTGATGCGCCCGTGAAGTTGGTTCCATTGTCACACCATATCTCTGAGACTTGTCCTCTACGTGCTATGAAGCGTCTTAGAGCATGAATAAAAGAGTCAGTGTCAAGTGAATTTGCCGTTTCAATATGCACTGCTCGGCTAACTAAGCACGTGAAGAGTGCCCCATAGCGTTTTACGTACTTGCGTCCATCTTTGATAACGAAGGGTCCGTAAAAGTCCACACCGGTGAAGGTAAAGGGTGGAGCAGGATTGACTCTCCTAGATGGCAAGTCAGCCATTTTTTGATCACATGTTGAACCACGCAGACGTCGGGAGGTAACACAGTGTGACAAGACGTTGCGGACAGCAGAGTTAATAGCCTTAATAATCCAGTAGGTTTCTCTCAGCATGGAAAGTACATGGTTACGTCCTGCATGGGCTAGCTTTATGTGCTGGTCTGTAATAATCAGTGACGTCACGTGACTTCTGTAAGGAAGTATAACTGGGTGCTTCATCTCCTTGGGGATATTAGCTCTGCCAATGCGACCCCCGACTTTGAGAATTCCACTTTCAATGAATGGGTCAAGTTTATACACTGAACTTGTCCTTGGAACTCGGCCTCGTGTACCTTCACATCCTTGAAGCAGTTCAAACTCTTTGTTAAAGTGTATTTTCTGCACAAATTGAAGAATACTCTTCTCTGCTCGACTGAGGTCCTCCACAGAAAGCGATCTGTTGCTTTTAGCATGCTTCTTATTTTTGTATTGATGCTCATCGCTCCGTGACTTGAGTGAGTCAAACAATCTGTGATATATGGCTACAACACGCTTCAGACGATACCAGCTGGAGTAATGTTCCAACAATTTATTCACAGTGTTGTGAGAACAGTCATCCTGTGATGCATCGGTTGCTGTGACTGTTTCTTCAAGCATCTTCTCATCATGGATAAGATGTGGCTGTACTGGCCATTCTGATTCTGAAGAGGAAAGAAATTTGGGCCCATGAAACCAGTTCATACATGTAAGCAGATGTGATGCAGATATACCTCTGGATGCAACATCAGCCGGATTGCTTTTTGAATCTACATACTTCCACTGAGTAGGTTCTGAAAAGTCTCTGATTTGCTTGACACGGTTGGCAACGAAGATTGGAAACCTCTTTGTTTCATTGCTGATATAGTGTAACACCGTCGTTGAGTCTGTGTGGTAAGTGACACTTTCAGGTGTAGACTCCAGTTCCTTCATTAACAGTTGTCCGATGTGAATAGACACGGTGGCTGCAGTTAATTCCAACCTGGGAACAGTGATAGTTTTCACTGGAGCAAGCCTAGACTTTCCAATCAAGAAAGCTGTGTGAATACCGCCTTCATCGTTAGACATACGCAGATATGCTACACAACCGTATCCAACAGTGCTTGCATCGGAGAATACATGTAGTTGAACAGAAACAATATGTCCAAAATCAGCAGGTTTGAGACATCTTTCAATCCGTAGTGTATTCAAATGGTGAAGCTCTTCTATCCACTGCTCCCATGATGCCTTGTATTCCACGGGTATGTCATCATCCCATCCGAGCTGCTTGTTGATGCACAGATCCCGTAAAATCTTCTTGGCTGGTAACAAAACCGGTGCAACAATTCCTAAAGGATCGTAGAGTGACGACATCGTAGACAATAGTCCTCTTCGTGTGAATGGCTTACTCTTCAGATGAACTGAGAATCCAAAAACATCACTGTTGATATGCCACTGCATCCCTAGAGCGCGTTCAACAGGTAGTTCGTCATAGTCTAAATCACGTGTTTGGAGTTCTTTTGAATGATGTTCCTGTGGTATGGATCTGAGAAAATTGCGACTGTTAGCTGTGAACTTAGTAAGCTTGAAGCCACCTTCTGCACATGATTTCTGCAAAGAGTCCACTAAGTCAATAGCTGCCTCTTCCGTGCATTCCGATTTGAGACAATCATCTACATAAAAATTGTTGCAGATTGTGTCAGCAGCAAGGCTTCCATACTTCTCTTCAGCTTTCTTTGCAGCAGCTTTGAGAGCAAAGTTGGATATGCTGGGGGAAGAAACTGCTCCAAAAATGTGAACAGCCATCCTATACTCATGTAGCTCCGAGTTCAAGTCACCATTTGGCCACCACAGAAAGCGTAACAGATCATGTTGTTGAGGAGGAACACGAACTTGATAAAACATGGCTTCAATATCAGCCATGAAGGCAACTGGTTCATTTCTGAATTTGGTAAGAACACCTATCGGGGAGTTCGTGAGATCAGGTCCTTGCAAGAGTCTGTCATTTAAAGAAAACCCTTCAAACTTTGCTTTGCAGTCAAATACTACGCGGATTTTTGAAGGCTTCTTCGGATGGTATACACCATGGTGTGGCAGATACCAAACCTTTCCTGGTACAGGTGCTAGCTCATCACTTGGGACCTTGTAGGCATATCCATTGGAAAGCAGACTATCCATAAAGGCAGTATAATGTTCATGATACTCTTCATCATGCAGCATTTTCTTCCTTTGCCACATTGCTCTCTTCTCGGCTTGTTCTCTGTTGTTGGAAAAATCAATGTCTGGATCCCTGAGAGGTAATGGCAATTCAAAGTGGCCGTTAACTTCCGCGATGCCTTTATTTGCCATGTCGATAAACTGATCATCCTCTCTAGAGAAACCACGTTCACCAGGTAATATTCCAGTGTCCTTGGGATTAAAATCCATTTCAAACATATTCAGTATCACATCAGTGAGACATTCTTTTGCCGACGTGAGTTCTTGGAAGAGCACACGATTGCATGTGAGCGTATTATCAACTGGGTTGAACTTGATATAAAGCGGCCCACTGACAGTCCATCCATGTCTGTAGAGTACGGCGAGAGGACCTTCACCTTGAGATGGAATCACTTGCTGAGGTTGAAGTGCAAGAGGACAGTTACTCCCAATAAGAAGACCAATATCCAGATGAGGTAGGTATTTGGGCAACTTGTCAGCCATAGCACACAGATGAGGCCATTTCTTCAGAATGTCAGGATTGGGAATCTGACTATGACTTACAGGTATCTCCTCTCGAGTGAAAGTTCTTGGAAGCGTCACTGCATTATCACCATTGTGATCTGACACAACAAGACCTTCCACAACATGCGTACTCACAACATGAAGTCCATGCATAGTCCGAAGTTTCAGTGAAGATTCTGTAGATGTAGTCTCAAGTCGCTGTCTAAGATCCTCCGTTATAAAGCAGCCAGTACTCCCGTTGTCAAGTAGTGCATAGATCTTCACCAGCTTGTCACTTCCCTTTTGTTGAATCAGAACTGGAAGAATCGCTTGGAGCACAGTATCTGAAATAACAGGTTCAATGTTGTTGCATGAAGATGACACTGACATCTCTTGATCTGGAGATACAAGAGAATCACAAGCTTCAGAAGACTTCTGTTCTACGTTCTTACTTGCAGAACGGAAGTTCTCATCATGCAGTATTGTTGGATGACACTTTCCACACTTCTTACAGCTTCGTTTCTTCATACAGCCCTTTACCATGTGATTGAATCCAAAACATCCACAAAGCACATTTTCTTCTCTTGAAGATATGTCCTCCGTTCACTGAGAGATTTCTGACCAAACTGTTTGCAGGATTCAATGTCATGAGGTCCTCTGCAGAAGTAGCACGAAACACTTCGGTATTTATCCTGCTTGTGGTTCGAACTGTCTACACCAGTCACGAAACTACTTGACTTGGCTCCATCTTTCTTTGAACTCTTGCCTTGTTTGGATCCCCAGTGAACTTGGCTCTTGGATATAGCTTCCTTTCCAAACACAGGCTCATTAGCAGATCTAGAAGCAAACTCAATGAAATGCACAAGATTTTCAAAGTCAACAGGCCTGTTGCTATGAAGTTGTGCTCTGGTAACATGATCACGCCATTTATTCTGTAGATGCACTGGCAACTTCAACACAACTGCTTGCAAGTTAACAGAATGATTAAGAACAGTCATGTGTGACATAGTCTTCATTGCATGAAAACACTTGATGAGGAAGTGAGAGAATTGTTTAAGTCCATGACAATCATCATGCTTGATCTGAGGCCATGATAGAACTTGATTAACATAGGCAGTTGAAACTTTGTATGGGTTACCATACTCACTACTCAACAGGTCCCTGGCCTTAATGTAGCCTTCCTCTGGATCCATGTAGAGACATCCAGCAATCAAGTCCTTTGGTTCTCCCTCAAGCTGCTGTTCCAGGTAGTAGAGTCGATCTATAGGGCTGCTAGCATGAGGAACTATACGGGCATCAAAAGACATGATAAATGCACCATATTCTGTAGGGTCACCTTTAAACTTTGGCACCTTAGGCTGAGGTAACAACATAGCTGTTGCCATCTGTCTATGAGCTTGCAAAATCAGTTCATTCTGGTCATGTAAATGCTGGGATGTATCTTCTGTCCTAGAGCTTTTCATACCAGGACACTTTGAAAAGGATGGTTGAAAGTCAGAAGCATTAGGGTTAAGCCCTTTCTGATGCTCGTTATCCTCCAAAGTTTCATGTTCGAATACAAGATGAGGTCTTTTGTCAAAAGGTTTCAAAATGGGGTTACCACTTTGAACAATACTGGCATTTGACAACTGTAGCTTAAAATCGGCACTATATGAACTACCTACTTCAAGACATTCGGGCATGTTGCCAGGAGATCTTAGCATATCAGGCACAGTAGCTTTGACATCAGGCATAGAAGACTTGACATCATGCATGGAAGGCTTGACATCAATCATAGAAGGCTTGACATCAGGCATGATAGGATTGACACTAGGTCTTGATGCTACAGAGATCCTTTTATCATGATCAACTAAAGTTTCAGAAACATAAGGATTACACTCCACTACACCAGGCGTATAAGTTCTTGGGTCTGCTTGTGAATCAGCATAGACTTTCTCACGTGCCTGAGATTTAGCAATTTTAATATTTAACTTCAAAGATTGCAATTTCTTAGACTCTTCAAGTAAAGACTTTTCAACTAAAAGTTCAGCCAACCTTGCACGCTCCTTTGTATATGCTGACCTGGTTGAACTCCTGGAATGTCTCGATGACTTGAAACTTTTTGATGACTTGAATTCCCTAGAAGACACACTTTCAAGGTGATCCGCCAGGACATTCTCCATGCTAGTAATCCAATTTTCTACTTTACTACGAAATTGTAGAATGGAAATCTCCCTCTCCTGGTGACGCATCTGCTCTGAACTCTGCACGTCCTCTGAAATAAGCTCTTCATAATAATTTGTGAAACATACAGAATACCTTTGACACAAGTCTTTAAATTCAACAAAGGTAAGCTTAACAACATGCAAATTGTCACTACTGCTACTGAACAAGAGTCTAGAAAGTTCTGTTCTCTTCTTAGTAAGAGAAGAGAGAACACCAGTCACTCTGGTTTTCAACAAACGAATCTGTTCAGCTTTCCCTTTCTCAGTAAGTGTTCTTTGACGACCAGAACGACCACAAGAAAAAATACCCATATATACAAAATATACAATTTTGTATATTTGATATTTCCAAAATATACAATTTTGTATAGTTGGTATTTCCAAAATATACAATTTTGTATATATGGTTAGATTTTACCACTGCTTCATTCAATTTCCTCACCTCTTATAGAATGTTTCACATAATATGTGGTTGCAAAGTTTACTAATGATACCGAACAGTATAATTATTGCATGTGACAATAATGCTTTAATACTATTTTCATTATGACAACTATATGATGTTATGAAATAATTTGTATTTCGTTATGTTTTACAGATCTTAATAACAGTTTGATCAATATAAAATGCGTACGCCAGCAACAAGTAGTTGAAAGAAGTTTTAAACATTGATGTTTATCGTTCCAAAGCTCTGTTCTCCAGCTCAGTTCATCTTTGTTTACGAGAACGTTTCTAATATGGGCAATTTTCTTCTTTCGGGACATTGGAGCAGTCATAATATTCATAACTTCATAAATATTAAGATTACAGGCAATTTTAACAACTTTAGTACTCCATGAACTTTTACATAGTAACCATTTTCTTCATCAAAGCGTTACAAGTACTGTTATTAAATCTTGGGGTAGTCTAAAAACATTAGCATGTAATGTAACAAACGGGGAGGAGAGACCCATGTCTCCATTAGTGGCTATACATGGAGGTACCGTTACTAACACCAAGAAATAATTTACCGGCTCTATTTTGGATTAGATTAACGTTTTATCCTCATATACCAGAGCCATAGAACATTACCGGCTCAACAAGACTTTCATACAGTTTCATAAAAAACATCATAAGACATACACCCAACAGAATAAGACAAAGCATGGCTGGCAGAATTGTACAACTCTTTCACAGTTTCACATATCTAGTGGCTCGTCAACCCGTAGTCCCAGATAACGATATGATTCTACATAGACCAGTGTTTGCCCAGCGTAGAGGAATCTGGTTAATCTGTATCACTTAACGAGTTTGAATAGCTTACTCTGACCACAGTCGAGAGCAGCACAGTAATTAGTAGTTTAGACCAGGCGAATACACTGGTCACACTTGACTGGTCTGTCTGATGATTCGGTCACCTGCCAAATGGGATGTCTGACAATTGGGTGTGAACCTTACAGAGGAAGTTATTTTATGAATGCGTCACGTGTTTCAAAAGAGATGACCATTATCTAAGTAAAATACTTCTCAGATCATAAAGGACATATCATTTAAGGAAGTGAAATTCATTTTCGACAAACTTTTATGAAAAATTTTAAAACAGTGCGGGCAGATTCTATTTTCTAAAAGGTTTGGGGGGTTGTAAATCGTCCTGTTTCGATCCAGATCTAAAACTAGCCAAAATGCGACGGTGGTCCCTGTATTTAAAACATAAGGAGCAACAACGTTACGATCATGAAAGTTCTTAATGTATTGCCCTTAACGTTATGTTTATCGTTCCAAAGCTCTGTTCTCCAGCTCAGTTCATCTTTGTTTACGAGAACGTTTTTAATATGGGCAATTTTCTTCTTTCGGGACATTGGAGCAGTCATAATATTCATAACATCATAAATATTAAGATTACAGGCAATTTTAACAACTTTAGTACTCCATGAACTTTTACATAGTAACTATTTTCTTCATCAAAGCGTTACAAGTACTGTTATTAATCTTGGGGTAGTCTAAAAACATTAGCATGTAATGTAACAAACGGGGAGGAGAGACCCATGTCTCCATTAGTGGCTATACATGGAGGTACCGTTACTAACACCAAGAAATAATTTACCGGCTCTATTTTGGATTAGATTAACGTTTTATCCTCATATACCAGAGCCATAGAACATTACCGGCTCAACAAGACTTTCATACAGTTTCATAAAAAACATCATAAGACATACACCCAACAGAATAAGACAAAGCATGGCTGGCAGAATTGTACAACTCTTTCACAGTTTCACATATCTAGATGCTCGTCAACCCGTAGTCCCAGATAACGATATGATTCTACATAGACCAGTGTTTGCCCAGCGTAGAGGAATCTGGTTAATCTGTATCACTTAACGAGTGGTGAATAGCTTACTCTGACCACAGTCGAGAGCAGCACAGTAATTAGTAGTTTAGACCAGGCGAATACACTGGTCACACTTGACTGGTCTGTCTGATGATTCGGTCGCCTGCCAAATGGGATGTCTGACAAATGGGTGTGAACCTTACAGAGGAAGTTATTTTATGAATGCGTCACGTGTTTCAAAAGAGATGACCATTATCTAAGTAAAATACTTCTCAGATCATAAAGGACATAACATTTAATAAAGTGAAATTCATTTTCGACAAACTTTTATGAACAATTTTAAAACAGTGCGGGCAGATTCTATTTTCTAAAAGGTTTGGGGGGTTGTAAATCGTCCTGTTTCGATCCAGATCTAAAACTAGCTGAAATGCGACGGTGGTCCCTGTATTTAAAACATAAGGAGCAACAACGTTACGATCATGAAAGTTCTTAATGTATTGCCCTTAACGTTATGTTTATCGTTCCAAAGCTCTGTTCTCCAGCTCGGTTCATCTTTGTTTACGAGAACGTTTTTAATATGGGCAATTTTCTTCTTTCGGGACATTGGAGCAGTCATAATATTCATAACATCATAAATATTAAGATTACAGGCAATTTTAACAACTTTAGTACTCCATGAACTTTTACATAGTAACCTTTTTCTTCATCAAAGCGTTACAAGTACTGTTATTAAATCTTGGGGTAGTCTAAAAACATTAGCATGTAATGTAACAAACGGGGAGGAGAGACCCATGTCTCCATTAGTGGCTATACATGGAGGTACCGTTACTAACACCAAGAAATAATTTACCGGCTCTATTGTGGATTAGATTAACGTTTTATCCTCATATACCAGAGCCATAGATCATTACCGGCTCAACAAGACTTTCATACAGTTTCATAAAAAAAAACATCATAAGACATACACCCAACAGAATAAGACAAAGCATGGCTGGCAGAATTGTACAACTCTTTCA